ATTGACTAAAGTACTGGCACAGCATTATAATCAAATGAAACCTACTTTAAAAGATATTAAATGTTTAATTTAATTAATAACGTGTAGCACTTTGTTCAACGCCGTATTTTACGAAATAACAAAACTAGTAGACAAACAAATCGGATTCCCGCAAGAACCGCGAGAAAATCCGTTTTCTACTCAGAACAGATGTAGCAAGATTACTTTTTAGAATATTATGTGTTAACCTACTTGAACTCTTAAATTATGACCAGTACATTGGTTTGGTCTATTATGTATTGATGTACCTAATGTTTCATAAGAATAAGTAAATTAATATTTGAAAATAATGAATACATAACTACTAAAAGATTTTCATTTTTGCTTAAAGTATGCATGTATGTAGATAATTAGATATGTAATTTTTCGATAGTATATTTTCTCTTTTATTTTAATTGATATGTAGTATTATTGCTAAGTTCATTAAATAAATTAAAATAAATATTATTTTACCTATTAAATGAATGAATTATAAACATTTTTCTTTTTTATTACTTAGCTATGATAATTTCTTGTTTAATTGGGATATTCCAAGTGTACAAATTAAAATAATAGTTTTAATGTTATTATTTATGCCATTTTATTTATTTATGCCATGCCATGCTTCTAGCAGTGGTTCTCAATCAGTGCTCTACGGACCACTGGTCATTGGAAGTGTCTTAAGTGGTCTATGGAATTTCATAAAATTATAAAAATAAACATTTATATACAATAATGTTATGCGTAATTTTGTGTTTAGATATATAAAACGTAATATACTTTATAGATACCTACAAACTATCTAGACTTAAAGAAAGCCTATTAAACCAAGAAATATATTTTTAACTTGAATATCTTAGAATATACAAAAAAATCGTTATAAGACCTATACCCCGATTTTCGTCTATTTTCAAAATGACTCGAAAGAAACGCATTTTTCGATGATGTAATTCATGACGCAACTGAAGTGGGATCTGACACAGATAATATACAAATTGCATGGATATGGTTTTAACAAAATTATAATAACAACATATAATTTCATTCGTATAGAATAGGCCCTCTGTTAATAGAGCGGGCGAAAAAACGGTCAGCGACCAAAATCATATGTGAGTATTGAAAATAAACTAATCATAGCGCTATACATAGACTGTATTGTATTTTGCTTTATAGGACGCTAACCTCCCCACGTACATCATTAGCAGTACTTCTTGTAAATTGTACTGAGTTTCATCACAAAATATTTTGGCTCTATGGATAGAGATATGTATCGATTATTTCAATGCTCGCATAATAATTAATCCATGTTCGTGTTTTCGCGTACCCTAGCAATGACTTTCTTTGTAGTCGACCCCTCATAACTGAGGATCGTATTCATCGTGGAGTAATCCACATTTGTATTTGACTATTCATCTCCATCGGCTTCTATCATCGAATCTCCTGGAACTTGGCGATATACGAGTCCTTTATTAGATCTATCTATTGAGTGTGCGATCGGCCTCTTGAGCGTTTAGCTCCAGCTGTCCCAACCACGACAAATTTCTTCTTGTTCTCATTACCTTTTGGTATAATGTATCCGAAGTGTTCATTTAAGCCACGTACTTTCCTAGTTCCGATGCGTTGTGGGCGTCTCGGATGGTTCTTCTTGTAGGTATTCTTCACTCATATTTTCCATTCCACCTGGTGATTCACGTCCAACCAGATGGCCATTAGCATATTTCAATTCATCTTTCCCGGACAGATGAAGCCAGATCGCAATCGCTCGACACAAAAATCTTCACATTTTAGAAATATTAGTGGTTTCCCGTTAAATTCTGATTAAGGTTCCGTTTTGAAGTTATTAAGATTCATATCTCTATTATTTAGACCTTATGTAGCCTGTAACCTGTACCTCTTCATACCTATCGTGCGGTCAGCTGTAATAATTATCTTAAAATATTGATTACATTTATCTTAAAAAATCTTTATTAACAAAAGAGAAGAAATTTACATAAAATCGAAATGCACATTCGATATTTTATCAAGAACTCACAAACGGCAACATTCTATACAATATTTTATCATAATCAAGATTATTATTGATGTTACATACAACTCAGCATTATTTAAAATAAAATTGTATCTGAGATAATGAATTTTTACTAAATCAATTTCTTTGACGTATCATTATGACTGTTATGATAAATCGTTAGATATTTCAGTGCCTGATTATAGCGTTAATTAACGCTATAATCAGACACTGAAACTTGTCGATATTTGTAGGGGATTTAATCATACTCAAATAATCTGGGAAAAGCCTTAAATAATTTTATTAAACTTTATAGTAAAACAAATTTGTATGCTCAATGCTATATTTTGTGGTGTCTTAAACTTCTTTTTTGAAAAAGATATAAATAACAAAGGGTAACCACACGGTTTCTAAATTTGGAATTTAAACCTGTACTTAAACGTAACTTAAACAGGTTTTGGATTTTGATTTTAGTTTTAAAACTAGGACTCTATCGTTATAAAACTAGGTATTGAACAAAAATCCAAAATCTCAACTGATTTTTCTTAATAACTTAAGATTTTTACTTTTCACTAGGCAAAAAGTCCTAGTTTTTATCAAACAACTGATCATTTATTCAGAAACCTGCCGTAAGACGAAACACAGAAACTGAAAAATCTAATTATGGAAAGTAAGAAAATTGATTACCGCCGCTGAATAGTTATCAAAGAACTGGTATTTTGTTCAGGGAGAATTAATATCAGCTGTAAAAGGGAAGGCTTCTATCTTTGGGTTTGCGTGTCTGCTTGCGATGTCGCAGCAGCTGATACCTTGTATTCAGGGTCGGGGTAACTAATGAATATTATTATTCTATATGCAAAAGTAAAGTCCGATGCAAACTTACTGAAACAGGGTTGTACCGATTACTTGTCCAAAATGCGTCAAAATCGATTATGGGTTTATGATTAATTTTATCGCCGACATGAGCTTTGTTAGGCCAATTTGTTTTCCTTCATCTTGCTTGTTTTATTTTGGACTGTAAGTATCTAAACTTGGATATGTATGACAATTTTGTATTGATCCCGTTTTGTTGAACTGATTCAATAAATAAATTATTTTTATACTTTCTTGTACAAACCACACATAAAGCACTATGGATTAGGTTTAAGTGCAAATAATTGTTTTTTTTTCTTTTTTCACCAACTTTAACCGAAACAAATCTAAATTTGTCAAATGATAAAAATATAAATAATTCGACCGTCGCTGGTGCCCTGAATTGGATTCCAACCCATACGGAATCTTCTACTTAGTATTTTTATAAGATGTAAGGTTATGTATTTTTTACAATTATATAATTTCAGTGTCCTCTCCTAATTCCGCCCTGTACACAATTACCATTCCCCGTGACCTTCATAGTGGTCGTGCCATTGTATTTATGTATAACTGCTTATTACATTAATATCATTATGATACAACGTCTAATGTAGGCTTTAGAGGACATCGCCGACCGGTACATGGGTCTCACTCTCAGCATAAATTACGTTGAGTCGATGAAGGCACGGCACTACAGACATTTAAATACAACTGATGAACTCTATTTATATATTCAAAGTCTGATCGTAGCATAAATATACAGTCAGGCAATGGATATAAACAATGATAGTGCTTTTACATTTTTATTAATGTATTTCTAAGTAATATAGCCTTCGCAATGATAGCAAATTCTTGTTCAATGTAACTTATAGAAACCATTTTTATAGCATTTTATTATAGTAGCTGAAATATGCGTTATGGAAACGCGAATTAATGATTATAAACCCAGAGATAAACGGTTAGAAAATAAGAATGAATTCATGAACAGAGTATGAATTCATAAGTTCCTAAATAACTTTGAACCAATGATGGATAACTGTTAAAGTTTGGTTCACAAAATTTAATAGTTTTACGGTTTTTATTATTGGTTAGCACTAACCAATTGAGATACCCGATAATTTCTCAAGCTCTTGTTACTATCATAGTGAACTATAAATGTCCATTAATGTTTCAACAACAAACGCATCATGTTAGTTGATTAGACATTTCAGTTTTTGCCATTTCAGGTGTTGTAATTTTCTTTTTGGACAATTGGACATTTTGAAACCGTTGTTGGACGATTTGGGAAGTGGATATTCAAAAGTGATAGGAATCCACCCAATCAATGCGTTGTGGTCGATAGACGTCGCGTTCAACGCTTAAATGATTTTAAACAGAACAACATAGCCGCTTTGATGTAGTATAATTAAAATGAACAAAGTTAAAGAAATCTGCAAAATACTGTTCAACAATTAAGGTAAGACAATATTATTAAAAAGAACTTTAAGTAAAGTACCTATGTAGTTTTTCATTACTTCTACTATTAACCTTCAATTGCTTGGTATTCCATTGAAAGATATCAATCAGGTCTAATAAAAGAATCAGGTTTACGGCCATTAAGTATTCTCTACTTTATTGTACCTATCCCGAAACTTATTTACATTGTTATTTATGAACCAGATTTAGCATTAACTTGCAGTTAGTGTTAGTGTATCTTACTTTAATAGTCAGTTTGCTTTAAAAGTCAAAATTCATATTATCTATTGACCTCAGTCGTACTCTTATCAAAGAAATACACATTTCTACTGCGCCGTAAAAAAACCTTTGATATACACTTGGGTTTATGTGAACGGATTTTTTTCGGATCCTTCAGTTCAACTTTAGAAATAGGTTGTAGCTAAAAATAATGGATGGAGTACACTCTAACAGATGATGGCGTTCTATTAGGCAAAAAAAATCACTATTTTAAATTGGAATTTAATATTAATTTTGTGTTAGAAATAATGCTCAAATATAGGTAATCAACTAATCTAAAGTCAAGAAAAAAAATTTTGTTCTAACAGTAGTAAAATTTGGGTTCAGGTGCGGGTCTCATGATAATATTCCTAAAAGTGAGGATTCGTCTCCCAATTACTAGACGCACCTGATCCCGGGAGGCGGGGTATAACAGGATTGGCCCCAGCGAAAGGGGCGGGGTCGAATGGATGCTACGGAACGATCTCATAACCGGGATGATGTAATATACGTACACCTTTATTTTTTTAATTATTTTAATTTTTATATTAAACTGTTTTCGACGACTTCACACGCGTAAATTATTTATACCTATGCTAACCGTGTATCATGACATGAAGCTACGCGAAGGTGAAATATTTTTTTAAACCAGTCCAGTAGTTTTGAAGCCTATTCGATGCAGACAAACAAACAATCAAATCTTTCCTATTTATAATATTAGTACTGACAAGTCTGTTCCTGTATTTTTGTAACATAGCCTTCTCGTACCCTCACACACAAAAAATTATGTAGGCACATATATTTTGATTGTTTATCATGATGAGAGGTTAAGTGACACGTGAATATGAAAAGATAAAAATACTGTCTCTAACTATCGCATTTGCCCGGTGATAAGATAGATAAGGACAGAGGATGAGGAATCGCGTGTAAAAAATCCTTTTTTAAGTCCCGTACTCAAAAGGTAAAATACAGGAAGCCATTAATTAATCCTAGGACTCCGCTGTCCGTCCGTCTGTCTGTCAGTAAGTCTTTCCTTCTGGGCGTCTGTCTACTTATTAATTGTAATTATTAAAACTAAAATGGATCAATTATTGGTTTCAATATGTTTTATCATAATATGTTGTATACTTATACTAATGAGAGAAGAACGCTGGAACCTGAGATTCATGTTTAGTTGTGTATAAATTGAGTATAAAAACATAGGTGAATTTATGAAAAAAATATATGAACATATTATACATATACTGAAACCATATAGAAATTTATAAATCTCTACAAAAATAGGTTTTGATATATTCATTTGCTCACAAAAAAAAAATCATAACTGCATTTGTTTTTTCTGTGATTAACAATGTATAAAACCAAAAGAGCGCGTCTTTACTCTCGATGCGTAATTAACGTAAGCGGATGTAAAGAGGGCCTTAATTACTGGCAAACCATTGCGATTATTGTGTTACATACAGCCTACGGCTTAATTATAATGTCGCTAATACTTGCTCGGTAATAGTAGCACGGTGGCGTAGTATATAAGTCGTTAAGCAACTTTCGCAAGGGTCGGTCACGGGATGGGTGACCAAAAATTATCTCGAGCTACTCCGTGCTTCGGAAGGCACGTTAATCCGTTGGTCCTGGCTGCATTTGCAGTCGTTAATACCCTCCAATCCGCATTGGGCCAGCGTGGAGGGTCATGGCCCATCCTCCTTAACCATCCATAAGGAAGGCCTGAGCCCCTGCAGTGGGGACGTAGAAGGGCTGATGATGATGATGATGATAATACTAACGGCTACGTTGAAACACACATACAAAGATTTTTTTTAATAAAAGATATTTATAAAAGAAAAGAAAGAAATCATAAAAATGTGAATTTAAATGTTAACTCCGTGATTAATTTCAATCAAGGAAAAATATTAATTTAAAAGCGTTATATTAAATTATATAATAAAAGGTTCCTAGAGAATAATATCTGACTTATATTAATTACATACATAATACACAACAATATCGCAACAATGTATGACTGATAATTTGCCTGGTAATATTTATCTTATAGATTAACACCTGGTAAGCCTAATTGTAAGTCAATGTTAAGTATATAAAAAAATATATATATAGAACCAACTTCAAACTTAAAAAAAAAGTAAAAATAGTACTTATTCTTTTTGTTGAAGTTATTTTTAAAGTCAAATGTGTAGTTATATACATTTATGACTTTGACATCACAGACAATGATAATTTATTGTCACCCTTGCTGTTTATTTGTAACTGCTTGTGAAATGTGAAAATGATGATGATATGAGATGGGCTTTCTAGAGACTACAAGCCACATGACCAATAATATGAGACGACCTCCGTAGCCGAGTGGTTCGCACGCCAGTTTCAAGGTGTCACCATCTCTGAGATCCCGGTATCGATTCCCGGTCGGGTCAATGTAGAAAATGAACTTTATAATGACTCGGGTCTGGGTGTTGTGGTACCTTCGTTGTCTCAGATACTCCATAATACGGGAGCTTTAGCTACTCTTGGAATCTTGGAATCTGAGCAATGTATGTGATGTTGTTTAATATATTTATTTATTAGGTTCAATAAAAAAAAAACCTTAAAATATGTAAAAATTACTGGTACTTGTATATTTGCAACGAGTAGCTCGGTGGCGTAGTGGATAAGCGCCGCGGCCCGCGATCGTAGTCGTTAAGCAACTTTCGCATGGGTCGGTCACGGGATGGGTGACCTAAAAATTATTATCTCTAGCTACTCCGTGCTTCGGAAGGCATGTTAAGCTGTTGGTCCCGGCTGCATTTGCGGTCGTTAATACCCTCCAATCCGCATTGGGCCAGCGTGAAGGGTCATGGCCCATCGTCCTTAACCATCCATAAGGAAGGCCTGAGCCAATGCAGTGGGGACGTAAAAGGGCTGATGATGTGGTGGTGATGTGTATATTTGCAACAAATACGTGGTGTGTAGTGTTAAATATGTAGTTAATTTTCATAAGATTAATCAAATGATACTCATGAAAGGCTCAGTTCTACTAATATTATGAATACAAAAATAACTTTGTCCCTGTGTGTGTGTGTGTGTTACGTTTTCACATCTAAACTACTGAAACAATTTTAATAAAATTTCGTACAGATATACTGGATCTTGAATAGGACATAGTATAGATTTTAGAACTAAAATTAGGATTAAAAGGATTGAAATAAAGGGTTAAATTTTATATTCGTAGAAGATAAAAACATGAAATGTTGTTTCCAGGCACAGAACAGGAAGCATAAATGTCTACACGTCCGGTTATTACAATATGTCAAATTTCCGCGATTGATTTTGAACTTTACCCTTAATTTATTGAGGTTTAAAATAAAATGGAAAAAGACAGTTTCTTATACCCTATCGGGACTGTACATAAATATTTGTACTAGAGTACTGTCATTTCTAATTCCAAGTAGGTGATAATAACTACATAACATCATATAAATAACTGGTTTCATATTGAAGGATGATTTAATTATATTGAACTTAATTGGAACACTGAATTCACGAAAAAATAATCAGCTGTTTCATACAGTTGGCGATATTACAATTTTATATGAAACAGCTGCCAATTTTTCCGTGAATTCAGCGTTGCTGCAATAGTAAAATTTTGAGTAACTAAGTGCAGTTTTAGCGTAAATTACTACAACTCTAAACCTTGTTTATTAATAACACTGTATATTTCTAAGGATATAATGATCACCCTGTATATGTTTGTAGTACGTGTCAACTATAGACACCGCCCTCTCAGCGAGGGAAGAGCCAACCCTCCGAGAGGATATATAAAAGAGAGGGATGCTGTTACACACAAACTGTCAGTACTTGTTCAGCAATCTATGTGAAACAGTAAGATACGCTGTTGATACGCAACAGTGTGTTGTAATTTAAGTTGTAAAAAAGTGTTCAAATAAAATGTTGCTTTTAATTTTGTTCATGCAACAATTGTGCAATGTGAAGTGACATTTTCGGTACAAATTTCCGTGGATTGCATAATCGTAAGTATATTAATGTAATATATTCTGTATTTATTTAACACTAGCGCGTTCGATCAGCGATGCGAAAGTTAAGCAACTTTTTTGACGGCTAATCATAAGATGGGTGACCAAAAATTTTATACCTCGAGCTCCATCGTGCTTCGGGAGGCTCGTTAAGCAGTTGGTATTGGCTGCTAGTCGGCAACGACCACCAAACCGCAATGGGCCCGTGGTGGGTCATGGCCCATTCTCCCTATTCTATTCCATCTATAGAGAAAGCCTGTCCTTCAGTAGTAGCATCAGCATTAGTAAGCTGATAATGATGATTTATTTAGATTTTCCCCCTAAATGTGTTATTTCAAACGTTATAAATGCGGTAAAATTTTATAATATTAAAAGGTCTTAAATTATTTCGAAATTCTAAATATTTTTCCTACAATTTAAATTTTTATTAATTAATCACCACACCCAGTAGCTAATGATGCCCTTCTGGAAAAAATCAGCTGGATAGAAGGCTTCTTCGAAAGCGGTTTGTGCTGCCATTCTGGTATTGATTTTTTTTTCATGGCAAGAAGGTTCTGGGAAATTAGATTGTAGGCAATATCTGGTAAGATTGGCGGTTGAAGGAGACCTTCCAACCCAAGCTCTTGTAACATGGTCTGCAGTGCAGTATGTGGTTTTGCATTGTCGGGCAGAAGCCAGAAGCTCACAAGATACTCCATAATTACTCGAATTTACGAAAGATTTTCAAAAGCGATAAAAACGGAATATTAACCCTAAAATACTAATTTTGGTTCGTACGTACCGGTTAACACACCATAATTTGGTAAATGTGATAAAAAACGTAACATTGATATTTTTTTACCGGTTGGCGATTGTTATTAATAATTAACTGCCGGATTTCATCATCATCATCATCAGCCCTTTTATGTCCCCACTGCAGGGGACAGGCCTTCCTTATGGATGGTTAAGGAGGATGGGCCATGACCCTCCACGCTGGCCCAATGCAGATTGGAGGGTATTAACGACTGCAAATGCAGCCGGGACCAACGGCTTCACGTGCCTTCCGAAGCACGGAGTAGTTCGAGATAATAATTTTTTGGTCACCCATCCCGTGACCGACCCCTGCGAAAGTTGCTTAACGACAACGATCGCGGGCCGCGGCGCTTAACCACTACGCCACCGAGCTACTCTGGACTGCTGGCATCATTAACTGCCGGATTTAAATAGAGAAAAATCAAACAGTGGTCTAATTGTCAAATTTTAAAATCTATCGCAGTACCGTTCAAAGTATCGAATGATCAAAGACATAATAACAATTTAGTATAATATTTACTCAGACGTAAATATTATACTAAGTTTTACTTGATTTAGATCATTCCAATTAACGTTAAATTATCGATGTCATTTATTCATAAACCTTAAAAAAAAAAACACGATCACAACCGCTATCACATTTTAAATAGTTGTAACGTGAAGTTCGTGAATATCTTTCTAATATCAGATTGAAAAGGGTTGCGATCTAATTCAAAATTAGGTTGAACTCCGGTTCCTTAATATTAAAAAAAGGTAAGAAGTTTCTACACAGCACAAGTCGAATAATAAATAAAAAAATACTTAAAATATGTAGTCGTTACAAAATACGTTCTTTTTGGAGGTTCTATTTGACATATTTACCAAAATTATTGAGAATATGTTATTGTTAATAAGAATTGGTAAAATTTCTTGAAAAAAAAGGAATAATTGTTTTAAACTATTATGATATACCTTATTAGGGACCTGTAAAAGCTCTGCCCGAGGCCGATGGAACTTAAGTTATTAAGAATGATCAGTTCAGAATTTGTATTTTTCTCAATTCAGAAACTGGCTCTTAATTTAGGATTTGTCCTATTAAATTGCGATTGTGTAATCTAAAATTAATATACAGTATTAAAATTATATTTCTTTTGTTACTTATAACCATGGAATGATGTTGGAAAAGCCCTCATTAAATTCAAAACATTTTCTTTCTTATTATATAACGAATAATTAACTTTAGTACGAAGTTAAACGATTACCCGACCCAAATAGGTGAACACGTCTCAATTTGACTATCATCCGGTTTCTGAATTGAGATTTAAAGGTAAAATCGTCTCAAACTGTAATTAAACTTCACTTGAACTGGTTTACGTTTTTTATTTGCGTTTTTTAATGATCAACTGTATAGCAGTTTTTTAAAACTTTTTGATTTTTGAAACGTAAAAACGTAAGTTATCGAGAATAATCAGTTGAGTTATTGTACTTTTCTCAAATACCGACTGTTAGTCTTATTTTGACACTGTGTTTTTCATTTCAATATCAAAGTTTGGCGAAAAACAAGCATTATTTATGCCTCACACGTGTCACTTCAAAGACCTGTCCACTTCAAGTCTCCAACCCTTGAGAGACCCGAAGAATAAATACGTGGTGAAACTCCAATGTTTTGGTGCGACAAATCCAATTGAGTGCCCGCAAAGTAAAGGGTGTAACATATTAATAATACAACACGCGTTCACACCTACACTAAGCGGAGTCTTTAGGGGATAATAAATCCGTATTTATTCTTTTTATATCGCCCCCGGCGGCCCCCCCGGTAATCGAATCACGCTCCATAACCGTATCGAATTATTTCGATAGTTCGCCAGACTTGACTCTCTCTCTGTATGAAGTATTTTTTTTGGATATTTGCCTTGTTTTTGAATATACGTCAACCTTTTTTTTTATTTTGCCCGACCGTTTCAAATATTCTTGACTATAAATTCTTTTTTTTCGCACGCAAAATGCATCAAATAAGATTATTAAAACAACTATTAAGTCATCTAAAATGTTTTTAATTTATCAGTAAAACGGGATTTTAAGTTGTCCTGCTATGATAGGATAACTTAATCAAAAAGCTATAGTAAGGGCAAGTTGCAAGAATATCAATACAGGTTTTTTGCAGATACTGTGACCAGATAAGTAACCATGAAAAGTTGGTTAGAAGCCAGTGGCATGGACGAGGGTATGCCGTGCATGCTGACGGAGCCTCGAGAAGCTCTACTGCCGATAACTGGCAGGGAAAACTTGGCGCCTAGGAAAAGGTAACTGGGAACAAAGACTTGGCAATCAGAAATCAGATTAGAATCAAAGTATTATAATAAGTATTAGATAAATAAGAAATTAGTGTTGACAACCTCCTAAGTGGCTCATACGCCGGTTTCAAGGTGACGCCATCTCTGATCCCTTGGGTTCGATTCCAGATCGGGTAAAGAAAGAAAATTACTTGTATTACCATCGTTATTTCGGATTTCCATAATACAAGTGCTTTAGCTGCCGGCTTAATTTGGGATCGGATCATATATATGTAATGTTGTCTAAGAGCCAATACTAAGTAGGTAACGAAGTGTAAAAAGAAAATGAGAGATAGATATTTGGCCTTCATAATTGGTAGACCTTTTTAAATCCATCTATACTGACGCAATGTATCTTAGCAAGCGATAAATGTATTAGGATAAGATACGAAAATTTAATTATGACAAGTGATAAAGAAAATCTGATAGATATTCAATTGCAATTCTTTTGTTAACAATCTCTGAGTTGTTGTCACTCGTACTCATTAAAACTATGTTTTACATTTGGCGGCAAACTGAGTCACAACTTTTTAAAATTTCCTCAAACCTTTTTTTAATGTAGGTCTCGGATTCGATTCTGTAATGTATCGTGTCTGGTTTATGATATCTTAGTAAATTCATATTTTAATTCAAAATGAATTAACTTTACCTTTCAAAATTATAGTGATTGAGATAGAGGTCTTTAGAATTGTGTAACTTCTAAAATCGCGATTGCTTTTGGAACAAATGTTAATCACTTATGAGACCGAGCGTGATATTTTCAAATTTTTATTTCTAGTTCTATTTGCCCCCAGGGACCGTACTTTAGAATCTTGCGCGCTATCAGAAGAAGCGTATCTCTCGAGTGGCGCGGGCTCCCCATGCGCAGGGTTGTCACGCGAGGAGCGCAGGCGCAGACGTCGCGCTACCCTCAAGTACCGCACCGCGCACGCGACCAGGGAAAGAATCAGAGTGGAAGCTTTCAACGCTGCGTTCGCGGCCCTCAGGAGGCTACTGCCAACATTACCACCAGACAAGAAGCTGTCTAAAATTGAAATCCTTAGATTAGCAATATGTTACATCGCGTATTTGAATCATGTATTGGACGCTTAATCAAAATACTGAAACTACACACCCTCGAATTAGTAGTGACGTTAGTATAGTATGCGTAGGTGGTAAAAAAAGAAAGAAATCATTTTATTAGTCCTCATGATACACGCACATGCAACGAGCAGCACAAAAATATAACTCTCATGCATTTTAAAACATAGATAAGTATACCTACCAACAGTACTTCTTTGGACACATGAGTCGACATTCGAGTCTAAAAACTACTAACACGACTAAAATGACGATATACCCACTCGTCTACTTGCTTCACATGACTATTTACCCTGGTTGATTTTCGCCAATCGTAGTGTACTAATACCGCACAAGCTACTTTGTCATTGTCTTCGAAAATGTTAAGTAAAATGTGGTTTTACATTATGTAATCAACAAAGGAGCGTAAAATACACTCATGCTATCCTTCGCGAGATCTTGACTGGTCTTTTATAGAGTCGATTTTACCCCCCAATACCGGCGCAGGCGGTATGTCACTGCAACTCATTCTGAATGCAACTCAAATGACACTCCGGTGTACTTTTTTATTGCGATTTCCTTTAAGTAAATTCAAGCTCAATATAATTTATTCAGACTTGACAAGCTCTTGTGAATGTCGAAAGCTATGCTACGCTTACGGTGCGAGATCTTGTACTGAGAAGAACCAGCAAGAAACTCAACTAGGGCTACTTTGATACTTAAGGCGATTTCAAACATTAATGTACAGTTACAGTCAACAGCTCATAAGGTGAATACAAAACTATGAAATTTGTCCACTCGATTTTAATTGTTTTGAAGGTTGAGTTTAAAATCAACTGGAGAAATCTGACATATTGTGGTAACCACATGTGCAATCATGTGCACGCACGGCCGCACCTCACGCTACACACCACCGCCGTAAGCAGACCTCTGTTAGTAGTGAAGTTCGATACCAAGTGCGGTCAGTACAAAGTCCATAATGTTTAGTCTGACGTGCAGCCGTGTGTACATGAAATTCGTAGATAACTCAATAATTCTTTCTATTACATATTAGGTAGGAATGTATTGTGATATTTGCTTTACAATTCTAGTCTATGTCTAGTCTTTTTAATGTTACTATGTTTATTGTTAATTGTATATCGTCGTTACGCATGCATAATCCACTATAATAAATGTAGGATTATAGGTTCACATAACAGTTAATCACGCAGGTGCAATGTAATGTAAATAGAAATCCACAAATTAGTAACATAATTCCATTAATAACATAATAACTTTTATGTAAATAATAACTAGTAAATAATAGTGATACTAAAAGCCAAAACCAGAAAAAGTACCAAAAATATACATTGTGTGAAAGAGGTAGTTAAGAAAAAGGAACATTTTTGAATTTTTCTACTTATAAACGCATAAATATTATATAATTGTTTTGGAAGTAAGGAAAGATAAACAATACGTTCATTAATTGAATAATATTATATTTTCACTCTAATAAAAACTCACTGATTCAGAGGTCGGAATTAGGTAGAGTTATTTATGTACTTGCATCGAAATGTTGATATTAATGTGGACCTTCCCGGGATTTCTTTATTTCTTCTTTCTTTATTTCTTTCTTTCATTGATGTAAGTTTGGCAACGTCGTGCGTGCAGTAGTTTAAATTGTGTAAAAGTAAATAACTTTTTATTAAAAAAATCACGGGTGTTTTTCTGCTCTTTAAAATTAATCTCTGGATTTGAGGCATATCCACTTCATTCTTTCGCTGTATGAAATCAGTCTAAGTACATGAATAACTCTACCTAATTCCGACCACTGCTGATTACACTTACTTTTTACTATGTATATTGCAGGATAATTATAAATACGAAATTATGGGTGTTAATTTTTTAATTAAGTACTAAATTCGACTACGACTCTTTATGATAATAGATAATATTTATAACAAAAGAGAAATACTCAATGTTACTTTTAAGGTGGAACAATTTCATTATTTTGACCGTCAACAGAAAGTTAATAATTTAATATTGTTTTTTTAATATAAATTGTATGAATGCTTTTAGAAGTATAACTATATAATGATGATTAACTAATTCATTGCTTAATTTGACAATAAAAAAAAAACATATCTCATGAGTTAAATAATAAAATTAATATAATAAATGTGAAAGTTTCTTTGTTTGGATGTTTAGATGTTTGGATGTTTGTTGCTCAATCACGCCGAAACTACTGAACGGATTTTGATGAAATTTGGTATACAGATAGGGTATTAGCTGACTTAGATAATAGGATACTTTTTATCCCACTTAACATCTCCCCAGGGTCCACGCGGGCGATGCCGCTGGCGAAAGCTAGTTAATAATATTACTTTATAAACCTATCCTCAAAAAGAAAAAATTGACATTTTAATTAATAAAAATAATATATTAGAGCACTAGCTCGCGTTCTATGGATGGTCAAAAATTATACATATGACTAGAAGTTTGTTTTATATGTATTCATTATGTCTTCCTTTTATTGTAAATATAAAATTATGCCAAATATCACTTGAGTTTTTAATACGGCCCAAAGCATATTATATGAGTAGATTAAAATTTAATTATTATTATCGCAATGATAAGAGGTAAACTTTTAAAAAAAGCAATACAATTTTTTTATAGAAATGTTTATTAACGATTATTAACAATGTCATGCAATATACAAAAAGCTTATAACTAAAAGCCATTAAAATTAAGCATGTTTTAAATATATTTAAAATTTTTACAAAACTATTGACGACAACAACTGATAACAAACTTAAAAGCACACATTCATTCACACAAACAATATCGCTCTATATAAGATCTGTCAACTAAATTGTACTTTATATATTTAACATTTACTTCAAGAACAAGTAATTTAAATAGCTCAAGAAAACTGGGAAGAATATCATTCCGTGTAAAAAGCCCAATATTACTAAACTAAAGAACATCCTGAAAAAGAAGACCTCTATTATTTGTGTATACGAAAAGGCCAGCACTATAATAGGGATATTAGTGAAAGTAATGCCAGTTATAATGGTCGATCCGATTTTTTTCAAAGCATCCTTTACTCTTTCGTTAGGCGGCTCTCGACTAGTAGCAGACGCGTACGCTAAATGACTGCAAAATTCTACACCGATACCAATAGATACTATTAAATTTACACAAGAGACGGCGTTAAGGGGAATATTCCAAATATACATAACACCCATCATATTCATAACTATCATGATAGTTGTAAACATGACAGCGAACGTTGTCAAAAAATTGAACCCAGACGCTAACAAATTGAATACCAAAGCACCGATCAGACAGTAACCAATTGATTTGAAAGTATCTGCCCACATCGTTAAATATTGTTCATAGAACACATAAAACACGGAATAGGGAAATACTTCTACGTCTGTATCGGTGATCGCTCGAATGGTTGCCGTAATATTATCAGCTACTTCGTAGCCATACTTGATAGCAGTAATATAATCTTTGGAAGTAGCTAACGAGCTATGATATGCCATGAAATTTGTATCGTGGACTGTCGCCCGCCCTTCATCGTCAAGAACGTAGTTCACGCTGTTAAAGTAACTCGCTAAGCCGCCTCTGTTGCACATTTCAGTCGGAGTATCTCTAAGGAAAAACGGTATATACTTTTCGAATGCTTCATCAGAGGGTCGCATGCCGTCTGCCCAACTATCCCTTTCTATACTACAAAATGCACATTCGTGCGCTATGCTGGCACTAGGACAGAAGCTGCCATCGGTGGTATTGTATTTGCAACAAGAACCAGGTAAACTAGTCCAGTCAATGAAGTCGTCTAGCCACGAATTGGAAGGCCTTTCCATGTAAGTAATATCGCTATGTTGAGCAGCCAGAAAAATTTGTATAGCCAGAGACGTGTCGTTGCATAACCTACCTCCACATATCACATTTTGATGTTCCACATTTGTAAAATTTAAACCAGACTTCAAAACAAAATACACTGGGGGCCCCATATGCATGAGTTGGTTGACCGCTTGCAAGTATCTATATACATAAGAGTCAGTTGGTAGTGCCATTTCCTGATCTAAACCTATTTCTAATTGAGGGATTAACATCACACTTATCGATGTAATAGCGAAAAATATTATTACGACTATAATTTTCGTACGCCAATTTAATAAAAAATTTGAGTAGGGCTCCATTAGCCGTGTTGTAATACCTTTACGTGGTGTTTCAGAATGAAGTGGATCGGTGTCATCCAGTATCTTTTTCTGGACGCAAAATACAACATCTAAGCGTTTTTGTGAAGCTCTCATATAATCGAGAGACATAATTGCATTTACAGTTGTTATCTGGAAAACGAACAAAAACCCGAGAGATATACTTGCGAAAATAGAAAATGTTACGACCGCTGGAAAATTAGCTAAACTACCTATTGCAAAGCATGTCACCTGAGTCACAGACGACACAAACATAGACGGACCTACTCTTCCCATCATCTTAGAAAAAACGAATCGCCTTTTCTTTTCAAAACTAAAATTTTCATTGTAATCTTCGAATTGCTTTAAATTGCTATCAATATCATAAACCGTGTTGATCATGAGAAATACATTATCGATACCAACAGCAAGAACAAAAAATGGTATCACATTAATGGCTAGTAGAGTCAGCGTGATTTGAGCATATCCCATCACACCAATGGCACAAAATATAGCAGCAATTTCAACCAAAATACTGCCTATTGCCACTAATATTTTACTATCAACTAGCCATGTTCGGCAAGACCTTATGTTACCTAAAGATGCAGTGACGTATACAAACATCAAAATGTAACTGATTGCTATAGGAACCGCTTCTGCTTCAGAGACTCGGATAATTTCATCTTCTATTGATCGTTCAGATGCGAAAGCAACTTCGATGAAGTCCGATTTGTTATTAGCTTCATAATAATGTAACAATTCTATAAATTTTGCTTCCCATTCTAAAGCTGGTTCTAGTTGATCAGGAGACAGGAAATTGTTAATTGGCATGTTTATCAATAAAGTATTGGCATTTAATACATTATCCCCTTCAAACCCACCGAATGTAAGCTGGGCTTCAGAACCTCCTCCCCATGAGGCCATACAATTTAGGGCTAAATGATTATTTAAACAGTTCTGTATAGTTTGCAGATATGTTGCATTATTGATATTGTGTCTATTATTTTGAAAATAGGTAGAAACGGACATAATAACACATTGCTCTAATTTTTGTTCTTCGCCGGGAAGACGAAGAGGCGCATAGCATATTTGCTCTAAAGTAACGCCATTTTCGTTTCTGCCAATATTGATAATAGCATCTTCCAATTTTATCAATTCCTGAATTGCTTCTAATCTAAACGCCGACCCAAAAGTAGTATTTTCAAATTCAAAAGGGTCTAAATTTATCGTTAAAAAAACTTGAGAAGTCCTATAGAATGGTCCAAACCTTGTGTTGAAATATTCTAATTCCTGACGACTCCGTGATCCTGGCGCAGACCACAGTTCGATAGGATTAGATGTAATATTAAGTCTTGTAACACCAAAAAACATAGCAAACACAATCCACGAAGTTAACATTAACATAATAACAGGATGACCAGCAGATATTTCACCAATTTTAGAAAATATTGATTGAAACATTCTAACTGCACAATTGTCAATAGGAGGCTTTGCTTTAGTTTGTTCATTTCTCGATCTCTTATATTCTATTAGTGTTAATATTGTAAAAATTGTGACCATCAACACAAAGAAACCTAAACCTACTGAAAAGCTAATGCAATGAATACTGTCAAATACGGTACACGGTTCAAAAACAACTGGTTCATTTCCAACAGGACAAAGGGTGACGCAATCTAAACAACTGCATGGGAAATCTCCTTCCGAGGTTTCATTACACAATGGTGCTGGGACATTCATTGAGTCTTCTACTGTAGGCCATTTCAAGAAGTTTACTTGCACTGGTGCCAAGGGATTCATCGAGGTATCTCCAGTGAATCCAAACCAAGCTTCAGCATCGCACACATCGGCGTTTCCACACATTAAATTAATGGCTGGCATACCAGTCTGAGGTACAATTACTCCAGCACAAGATGCATGCGCTCTCAACATGAAATCCTCGTGCATTCTGTAATCTATTTCGTTTACGTAAAGCGTGTTATTGAATCCAGTTTCTATGTGCACATCCACAAAACGAGATTGTTCAGGGCTACAATTCATTTCGCAAATTTGTCGCATAAAATTCCTGTTGCACACTGGACACCTGCCGAGAACTCCGTCAGACAACATCAAGCTTTCTGACATTTTTCGAATTTGCTCAGCATCGCAACAAACCCGTATCTGGTCATCTGGCAAATCGTTTCCTTCTTCGTCAACCGTTAAGGAGGGGCACCTGTTTCTGATAATTTCCATGATTTCATCAACTTCGGCGGGATCCGTATCTTCTATAAGTGGAGGTGCCTCGTAGTCCACGGGACATGGTTTAGCAAAACCATCAACTTCGTAACATTCCCCTCTCATTTTACAACTTGCAGATGTTTCCCAGCACAAACACGTCAAAGACAAAATCACTAATAGGAGCTTCATTTTTGTTGTTATTGTTTATTACTATTAATTCACTATATTACCTCTGCATCATTGAACAATGAGTAACGTACTTCGTTGGTGCCGGACACCAAATGACCGAGCATACGGCTATCAACAGAGTTAATTAGAATTATTTTGATATCTTATCGAAATATTAAGTTGATAAAGTAAAATTGTATATAACACTGAACTTTATATCTTACTAGTCAAGATTGGTTATTATGAAGAAATTACGATAGCATTTTATCTCAGCTGTAGTCGCAGGTGTGCAGACATCGACGTCCCTCATGAATTCTCAAGGGAGATATCCCGTCCCTGCTGTTACTTTCCTACGACTTTCCGCATTTGTATACATATTTTATTAAGCAATAATGTTCCAATATATTCTCGCGTTCACCCTGTTAGAAGAAGAAAATTTATAATTAAATCACTGATCTAGAAAATTTATATTAAGTCGCTATTATTTATTAAATTAATCAATAAATAAAATATATTACCTATATTATATATTATAATTTCATCTTAGGTCTATACGAATACATCCCACGAACTATTAAAGAATCACCATCTCTTTTTAAAGGGGAAGATTTACGATCATTTTAAAATAACATTAAGCTAATGTAACCAACCGCCTTCTTTACCCATAGGTATACTAAATTAACATCAAAGTATGCATTTTTATATTCAGTTTGTAATTTTGGTAATCGAAATAATTTAGAATCTTTCTCTACGCAAGGAAGATTGTTTTTAGAATTCTGTAGCCAAAGAGTTGAAAATTTCACATTATATGTGAAATTATATGTGTAAAGTATTTCTTTTGCCGCTGAATTCATAAATAACATAATATTAAAATTTCTTTTGGGTGCTAGGACATAGGACAGAAATTTCTCTGACTTATAGTATAACAGCACGTCACACTATACAAATGAATCAAATTTCCACACTTCATTTTAAAACTTAATGCATTGTAAGTAGAGTCAAAATCAGTTAAGGAAATGTGATATATTACGGTAGCACATGTAAACGTGTTTACATATGATTCTATTTCATTTGTATTTTACAAAAGAGATATTTTACATATACCTAAGTATATAATAATAATAATAATAATAATTTTTATTTCGGACAACATTAGGGAATCCATATTTTTTGTTAGTTTTACACAAAATACACTTAAAATCTAGTGTTAGTATCGATTACAATTACTTAGAAACTAATTTTGTGCCAGTAATATATCTCCGGACACAATGTACTACAATAGGAGAATCGTATCGTCCTCCTATGACTTGAAGAATAGAATTGCAGCTGTCACGCACTCTGAAGAGCAACGAAGCACTTTTCTTTCTCATGATAGAGTAGAAATCATCTATCTGCATTTGTGCAAACATACCTGACGCACTGCAGAAACGAGACAGCCCCAACAGTACTCTAAAAGCATTGTTATATTGGATACGCAGTGCATTGAGAGCGCGCTGACTATAATTGGTCCATATGCTGCTCGTATAGAACACTTGACAATAAGCTCGAAAAAGTGTTAATTTGACTGGAATACTACAGTGGGAGAATCTACGAGCCAGCATGTTACAGCGCACTGCCAACGCCCTGCGCTCCCTCTCAATGTCAACCTCGTCTCTAAGGCTATCGGTCACGTAATGTCCGAGATATTTAAATCGGTATACACGTTGGAGTTCCGTACCATTCAGACAAATTTTAGGTACATAGGATGGACATTTACTACCGGCAGCCCCAAACACAAGATATTCGCTTTTTTTAACATTGTATATGAGACCATGCGTAACCGCGTAGCGTTCACACATCAGTAAAAGCTCTCTCAACGCCCTCACCGTCGGGCTCAGCAACACCATATCATCAGCGTAACTGATATTATTAACACTTACATCATCAATGCGACACCCCAATTTCATGCTGCTGAGCCCAACGATCAGGTCGTTGATATAAAGATTAAAAAGTTGAGGAGAGGACATACCACCCTGCCTCACCCCACACTCCAACTTGAATGAGTCTGAAAGCGCGTTACCCCATCTCACATTATTCTCCTGATTATAGTACCAATATTGTAAGATCCGCAACAATTCCGCCGGTACACCGATGTCCCGTAACTTAGTCCACAGCACATCGTAAGATACGAGGTCAAAAGCACGAGACAGGTCAGGAAAACAGGCGTAGACAGGAGTCCTTCTTTTGGTATAATAATGCACCGTGTGCTTTAAAGCTAGGATTGCATTCTCTGTCGAAAGTCCTGACCGAAAGCCAAACTGAGCATCATGTATGTGTAAATACTTATTAAGACGACAATCCAACAAACTATCCAGTACCTTGGCCATAATCGTGGCCAGCGAGATGGGTCTATAGTTACCTTTGTCGCTCGTATCTCCGGTTTTGTTTTTAACAATAGGTACAACTACTGTACGTATGACACATGCAAAGAGACAACAACATAGCCAAGACCCTAGCCAAGTGAGGATCTGCGTGCTGCAAATGCTCGATGCTGAGACCGTCGTGACCCGGTGATTTACCTTTTGACATTCGTTTTATCACGTCACGCACTTGCTTAGGAGTGAAACGAATGAGATCAGTATCACAACAGGCCCCATCATCGATCATCCCCAGCGACGCACCTAAGGGCGATTCGGACTTAAAATGAGTCACAAACATGTTTGCAATCGACACCGGTTCATCAACACCCCCGACACTAACTGGCAGGCCAGGCTTAATATTGAATTTGTTGGTAGCCATCCAAAATTTCTTAAAATTATTATTTTTATGATGAGATGCCAAAATGTCTGACTTTATTTTTTCCTGATGTCTCTGACACCATTTCAGTTTGCTTTTAAATATTTTACGACTTAAAGACATTTCATTGTACACGAGTCCAGATGTTGGTTTATTATAGGAGAGCCAGATCTGATATTTAAGCCTGGCCTGTCTGTGAGCCTCTCGTACGTATTTATTCCAGCCCGTTATCTGTCGATATTTATTTGAACGACGCCTAATATTATATGTCTGCTTGGCTGCATCAGATAGAACATTTACAATACTCATATACATGTCATCAATTGGCCGCAAGTGCTCCAAATGTTTACAGTGTGTATCACTACACATCTCAAAATGTTGAGGATAATCTATTTGCCGTAGCTTAATATTACAGAGTTGAGAATATTCCTTAATCTGATCAACATCCCTCTCACCCCATATTACTTTACTATAACTAGCATTGTTTGGACGTACCGTCGATTTAATGATATTCAAGTTACAAGTTAAGATAATGGGAAAATGATCAGACCAAAAAACATCATATATCACATCAACATTAGCGATAGTGTTAAAAGCAGACTGTGTTACAACACAATGGTCTAGCCACCGCCTACACCCGTGCGCCTCACAGATGTAGGTATAACATCCAGATTCAATACCTAATTTTATTGTGTTAATGTTATAATGTTAATTAACCAATAAACCAAATTAAACATTTTTTTTTATTGGATTTATCCAACATAAATTAATAGTTTACAATATGAACCGTCATTTAACACGCTTATAAACTAGACAAGACAGTCAAGTTACGAGTAGTTCGCCCAAAACAACTGACAATTTGGAAGCTATAAGTTAACAGTAGTTTTTAAACGTTTTATCGAAACGTAAATCAGATAAACTATTGATTAAAACATAAAAATATATTTACTTAGTATTTCTTCGAGGTTGTTTTGACGCAATGACGATTTAATTAATCTTGAGCAGGTGTAAACTTATTTGTAACGAACATTTTTAGGTATTTATAACGAAAAAGAATATTGATGTATAAAAACTTTTTGACCCAAAGACAAAGGACGATTCCGGGCAACGGCAACGAGTCGAAGTTCAATAAATTACAAAAAAGACTCACCAATGATTAAGCACCCATGATATCCATGATATACTCGTATTTATAGTCGAGTTGATGCGTTTAATAAAAAAAAAAGATGCTTCAAACAACATTGCGAGATTCGCCAGCCAGATTGTCCAATATTGCAATGATATCCCGGCCATACAGCCAAACATTTTTGATACCCTTATTGTGTAAAAACATTTCTACTATGGCTGGGCAAATGATTGGCAATAACGCAGTCACTAACTACCGAAAAATATTACCCGTTTAGAAGCCCTTTCAACCAGTGCCGGATTAGCCAAGTAGCAACTGCTACGGGCCCCGCGTGTTTATGGGCCCCGCGCAATTAGGAGCCGCGCTATGGTCTAACATATGAATTAGTTTTTCTGGCAGTGTTAAAATTTGCCAGAAGTAAAATAAGCCACGATTCTGTCTAAACTCACGTTAGTAAGTTGAACTGAAGTTTTAAACTGATAAATAAAACTCAAGTCACATTAGTAGTGTTATTCGGAAAGCAAAGGACGACTTTTCTGTTTCTATTGCACAGTTCCTGACTGATTCCGATTGTTCATCATGGTCACTCGTACCTATTACATGATTAGAAGAATGCCCTCAATTTTTTGGAAAGTCATAAACAATAACGTATTATTTATTTCTTGTAAAGCCTCAAAAACAAGACACTCACATTGTACCTAAGTTAGATTCAATTGGTTACTTTTACAATAAAATGTTACAAATCAAGAAAAGTTTGTAAGAATTTTGTTTTATTTCAATTATACACATAATCTCAAGCAAACCCCTCAAAAAATTTGCTATAGGTCCCGCTTTGCCTTAATCTGGCACTGCTTTCGACACCATTTTATTAATGTACTCACTGCTGGGGATTTCGGCTTCACTGTGGATGGAATCGACAAGCGAGAATGGGTTATGAGTGCGCTAACCACTGCTCCATTGAGCTTCTCGAAAGCTCCATAATGTTGTGTAAAATCACGTTATGACTGTACCAGAAGTCTTTCTGATGTAAGTAGTGAAATACAGGATATTGGGACGCTATTTCTTTGTACATATTCATTTGAAAGTTAATGATATTTGTTGTACGTGCCTTCTTATATAGATCCTAAGCCCATAAGGGCTGCCCACACATGCCCTACATATGCCTTTCCTGCCTGTGAAGCTCGTATGATTGATTGTTCTTGCCAATTCTGGATCATCTACCCTAAGTATACGTACTTCTCTATTTGTTATATGGTTGTTTAGTTGATATGATGGTTGTTTATACAAGTTCATAATTATATTTTTTTAATCTAAGCTCATTTCCAAACCAACTAGTAGAGAGACATCACCGATTTG